TAAAGATTTAATGAAAATTCTCTTGGCTTCCTTCGGTCACCTCTCTAAATCCTCGGGATTAAAAAAGTTGTTTATTCTTTTGATACATAAATATCTACAATTTTTTTATATTATGTAAAAAATCTTCTAAAACTATGATTTAAAGTCAAAAAAAAGACAGATATTGTTTATGGTCTTCTAAACTTATGCATTTTTTATGTTTTTTTATTGCTGCTTTTCCTCTTAACTGTTTACTTTTTTTAAATTTATTTTATTTAATTTTATTTTTTGTTTCAGTTTCTTGATCTTTTTTCAATGCATCTCTGCTTTTATTTGTCTTGTTTTGTGCTTCTTATCTTCCTATTATGTTAATGTTTACTGTTTTTTTGTTACATCAAGAACTTTTGGTGTCAAATTATATTGTGTAAAAAAGTCTGATATATTAAATATTTCTATGTTAAGTGTATGAAAATTTGTCCCCGAATCAAGCTTTATCAATATCTCCTCATCGGCCCCTTGAGACAATTAACCGACCCCACTTTATCACCGATCCTGTCCCAATCTGTGACATGTAGGTGCAGATATCTATTTTAATAGATGTAGCTGTCCACGAAACACAGTACCCAGATAACGATACAATCCATAGATAACACAGCTCCCGGTTATTGGAATGCGCCCTCTCGCTCTTATCGGGCATTCCCGACATTTCCAACTTTTCTTTATTAAGTCGAAGGACAATTGCGGCGGACAGGTGTAGATTTTTTCGCTTTATACTCCCATAAAAATTATCTAGAGTCCAGTGAAGCGAGCATTATTAAAGGTTCGTTTACCTGCTTTTGCCACTGGAAGGCCTCTTTGTACCTCAATGATATCATACTTTGAAGTAGACATATGTAAAATGTTCCGGGGAATGTTTCGGGGAAGTTTTAGTCGTATTGATATTTTTGACTTTATCAGAAATTTTCTCGATAACTATTTATCCTAGAGCACTGATCTTTTTTGTATATGATAGAAAATTAAATTTTCTTTCCAACGGTACCAAACAAAAGAAGTTATCTCTAATAAGTCCGGAGTTATTGGCATTAGACCGCTCCGCATACCGAAAATCGCCCAAAATTTCGACAAAAATCGAAAAAATTCAAAACTTCAAAATTGTCCATTTGCACTCTTGGATGTTCAAAAGACTTAATAAAGCACAGAAACATTGTAAAAATGCGAAAAATAAATATTTGAAAAATTTTGTGTAAAATATATTGAAGGAAAACATTAAAATTATCGGCGGCGGTGGTGGCTCAGCGGCATAAGGTCCCGCTTTCCAGCAGGTAGGTCCCGAGTTCGAGCCCCGGTCAAGTCGGCAATTTTTCTCAAATTCAAATATAATTCAAATAAATGTCAAAAGAGGGCGGGCGCAAAAGAGCGCGATCTTTAAAACATGTGCACATGTTCTAATAAGTATAAGAGAGAAAGCGCACAATACTAACAAAAATAAGCATCAATAGAGCGCGAACTTTAAAACAAAAGTGAAAATAGTGTAAAAGTTAAACAAAGGTAAGTTAAAAGTAAAATAAATGAAAGGTAAGTTTTGCATTAAAAATTAAGAAAATTTTCTTTGATTAATTATTGTTATTCTTACTAATAACACAAATGATTTACATAAATATACTAGCCAAATAGATATAAGTAAACAAAAGGTAAATAATACAAAGTATAGTAAAATAAAATTAGCATGAAATGTATACAGGGTGTTAAAAAAGAAATATTTCAGGAGGTAGTAGTAGAGAGCAAAACAAACAAAAAAAATCTTAATAAACATATTTTAACACCCTGTATATGTACAATTATAAATAAGTGCGCTTTTATTTACATAGATAAACACCTCCTTAAACTCTATCTTTTCCTGCGCCACTGGTCTTCAATTAATTTTGAGTAATAGTAATAGAATTATTCTAAAATAATTATCACAAATTTTCTCGATAACTATTTATCGTAGAGCATTGATCTTTTTTTATATGATAGAAAATTGAATTTTCTTATCAACTGTACTAAATACAAGAAGTTATCTCCAATAAGTCCGGAGTTATTGGCATTAGACCGCTCCGGGTACCAAAAACCGACCAAAAATATCGACAAAAATCCAAAAAATCTAAAAAAAATTCTTCTTATAAAAAACTAGTAGAATATGTAAGTACGATTAACCGGAAAATACGCCTGAACAAACCGTTTTGACCTACGACTCATAGTTTTTGAGATATTAATTTTTTTTTTAATAATATTAAAAATGGCTCTGTCTCCGTAACCATAACCCGGAGCGACATTACAAATTTTTACTTTTTTTATTTTGTAAATTGCGAAGTAACTGTATTTTAATGATTTAATATTTTGACCTAAACGTATGTAAAATGTCTCGGGGAATCCATTGGCGTCAAGAAAACTGCAAAATTCGTAATAGTTTTGAAGTTATGGTCGGATTTATATTTTCCATACTTTTGACTTTATCACAAATTTTCTCGATAACTATTTATCGTAGAACACTGATTTTTTTTTATATGATAGAAAATTAAATTTGCTTTCCAACGGTACCAAACATAAGAGGTTATTACCAATAAGTCCGGAGTTATTGGTTATAGACCGCTCCGGGTACTAAAAATTTAAAAAAAATCAACTTTAAAATTGATTCATACAACGTTTTTTACATTTCTAAAAGTCTTAAAAACTTCAAAAAGTGCATAAATCGTTATTTGGGTCAAGTTTAAAAAAATTTGAATTTTTAATCAAGATATTCGTTAAGAATTCGACAGGTGACAAAGACTCTAATTTGGTAAGTTTGAGATTTGGGGTCAAGTCGGTAATTTCCGGGCAAAAATTCACGATGTATGTGGCCGGTGATTGGCCCAATCGGTTTTTTCCTCAGATACTTAACTAATTGCCAACGCAGAGTCAGGTAATTATTCATTAATTGACTTTCTTACTTGACAATGTTCTTATCCGGCGAAGGAATCCTTTGATGGTGACCGCTTCTGTTATTACAGCCACTCTATGAAGATTGCAGTTTATTTGGGAAACACTTCAGACTACTTTGTGCCGGTTAAGTTGGTAATTGATTTCGTTCTCTTATTCATTTTATTATTATCAAACAACGGCCGACCGACGTTAATTAATTATTTCGCAAATCCCAACAGAAGCGAGCGAAGAAACAAACCGAGAAAAAATTCCTATGCTAATCGCTGTGCTAACCTGTTTTATTAATTATTTTATTATAATTTGTGGATCGGGCAATGAATCATTTTTTAATCGGTTCGAAATTAAAACAAGGCGACGAAGCCGACTTTACTCTTTGCCTTTTTACGTTTTTTTTTTTTAATAAGGTACTGATTTCAGAAGGCTTGTTAAGTAGCTTTTCTGGATGTACCGACAAAAATAGTATTTTTTTAGCCTATCTAAATCTATAAAAAAAATTTTTTGGCTTTCAAAATTTATTGCCAAAATTAATTTCCTGTCCTCGAATTATTGAAATAGATTTAGATTTTGATGTGTAACTTAAAATAAGATTACGTTTTTTGCAATTACAAATTCAAAATAAGTGTTTTAGTTAACGACTTTTTAAGATAGATCTCCCTAGATGGACAATCTATTTTATTGAAATACACCTCAATGTTTCAAAATTTTTGAGGTCTGGTTGGATTAACAATTTTTAAATAGACTTCAATTTTTTGAAATGTGCTTTAAAAATTTTGAAAGACAATCGACTTTTGGAGTAGTTTTAGATAAAATAACATTTTTTGCTATCAATTTAATAGGTCATGGGGTTCAAGAATTTTGCAAAATTAATGTTTTAAATGATAGATATAGATTAGTTATCAATTCTATTGAAATAGGTTTTGATTTGCTAAAAATTTTGGAATAGATTTGAGTAAAATAACATTTTTTGCGATGTCGGTTAATTTAGTAGATCTAGATGGGCTACAAACATGTTGATTTTTGGGATAGATTTAGATGGGATAACATTTTTGCCACAAATTACACATATTTATAGATTGCAAAAAAATCGTAGATTCTTTTAAAAACTTTTTTGTTTTTCCATTTTTGCTCTGTTTTTATCTGTCTTCTGTTTTTTTATATTTAACATAATTTATTTTTATTTTCTGGTTTTCCATTTTTGATCTTCGTTTTATTTAGTCTTTTCTTCTAATTCTAACATTTTTTTTTATTTTTGTTTTTCTCTTCTCTTCTTGTCTCTATGTTTGCTTAATTTGCGTATTTTTGCGTTTTTATTTTTTACTGGTTGCTTTTTACTTTTCCGATTTGCTTAGTTTTTTTTTTGTAATGTTCTACATTATTTGAATTTTTTTTGCCATTCGATTCTTTTTGTAGACTATGTAAATAATTTTTTTTTATGTAATCAAAAGATTTACTAGCAAGGAAATGATTTGAAATTTTATTATATTATTTTAAATTTTTAAATTTTAAATAGGCTTCAATTTTTTGAAATGTGCTCTAAAAATTTTGAAAGACAATCGACTTTTGGAGTAGTTTTAGATAAAATAACATTTTTTGCTATCAATTTAATAGGTCATGGGTTTCAAGAATTTTGCAAAATTAATGTTTTAAATGATAAATATAGATTAGTTATCAATTCTATTGAAATAGGTTTTGATTTGCTAAAAATTTTGGAATAAATTTGAGTAAAATAACATTTTTTGCCATGTCGGTTAATTTAGTAGATCTAGATGGGCTACAAACATATTGATATTTGGGATAGATTTAGATGGGATAACATTTTTGCCACAAATTACACATCGATTTTATTGGGATAGATCTAGACAGGCTGACATTTTTTAAAATAGATTTATAGATTTTATTTTACAAAAGCTTTAGAAAAATCAGATTTGCTTGTTTTTTGATCTGATTTTCTAGATGAGTTCGTAAAAAACCCAAAAAAGATAAAAGTTGTTCTTTCATCTATATTTTTGCAGTAGATTCAGGTAAATAAAACACCGAAGCTATGTATGAATATCGTTTAATTCTTAAAAGTATTCCACATATACACAAGACAATTTTCACATCTTCTACTTTAATACAGATTTTAATAATTTTTTAGTACCAGCGTTAAATAATGATAGTATTTAAAAATAAAAATTTCGATAATAATAAATAGAAACAATTTTGTTTTAACGCTGGTACTTTTCAACGATATAAACAGAAGAAAGAGGATTTCAAAAGCATGTCAATAAAGAAATGTACATTTGAACTATATTTATGTACAATGTTTGAGTTTCGAGAAATTTTTTATGGTTTATGTACTTTTTTATTGCTATATTCACTATTTCTCATGGTTTTTGGTCAGGTGTTGATGCAAAAACCATTGAAATTCTTTGGTAGAAATATAAATTAATTTTGAGTTCTAATATACAATTCTAGTTGTTATAGGAGTAATTTACAATTTACAGTTTTTCATAAAACACAAAAACAACCATTATATACAGATGTTTACGCGTTTACGTACAAACACTATTTACATAATTATTTAAATTAATTGCAATAATAGTAAAAGGAACATTAACTCTTCTATCGTGTCTCTTAGTTTAATAATATTATTATTATACAAAAGCTTCAACAGTCTACAGGATCACTAATTGAGGAGGAATAAAGTCTAGAAGTGACCCCCTCCTCTAAATTTTATTCCTTTTATAGGGTCAAACAGAATCAGCATAGCACCAAATAAAGTCGGATTAAAAAAATCTGCCTCAATTCACATACATTTTGTACTTTTTTGTAAGCTACAATAAGAAAAGCACTTTACGGTAATTTCATGTGCAAAAATCACAAAAATCCAAAATAATCTATTGCAAAAACACCCCGTATATATCAGTACGGCCAACTAAAACTTAGGATCACTTTCACTACTTGTCATTGTCTTCGTTTTGTTTAACATCGAGTCCATTTACCATTTTTTCTATACTCTTGAGGTCGCTGGGGGAGGTCGCCGCCTCCGGCTTGGGGGAGGCCGTGTTGGGCCTCACTGGGGGCGACATCGACCCCCCCCTGATTTTCCCCGAGGGGGAATTACTCAAACTCCTCGTGTGCGAGCTGGGAGTAACCGTTTCGAACGCACTCCCCCCCGAATTGGAGGTGGGCAACGTGTATGGAGTAAACCTATGCCCCCCCTTGAGATGGTTGTGCAACGGGGAGGTGGGCGACAGGTGGTGGGGGTTGGGGTGAGCCAAATTCTGGTAGTGGGAGAAGAGGGCTGGGTGTTGGGCGGCAAGGGCGAGTTGAGCGTTGAAGAGGAGACTGGGGTTCATGCCGGGAGCGTGCGCCCCTGAAAATAGGTTTAAATGGGGGGCGAATGGGGGGCCTCCGGCGCCGGGGTACAGGCCGGGGGGGTACAGGTACGGGAGCAGGTGCGGCGGGGGGTGGATTGGGGGGCCTACGCTGATGTTGGGCGAGGGGTACTCGCCGGAGGGGTTGGAAGGACCGGCGGCTGTGTCCTTTGGGGAGGAGGGCCGCGGCCGGAAGGCTCCGGGAGATTCCGAGCACGAGGATTCGGAACCGGAGTCGTCGTGGAGGCGCCGTCGAAGGGAATCGTCTTCGGTGCCTGGAAAGAAGGAATGTTGAGCAAAAAACATGTCGAGGTGATATGAAAAGTCAGGAATGTGTAATTAGTTTGTTAATTAACATTTTTGACATACCCAGACATCAATCAAAAGGTCACTTAAAGAGATAGGTACTTATCGGGACTAATTTTGAAAATATGGAAATATCTGAATCAGACTGAATATTTTCGTATTTGTTGCTCAATTATTTACCAAAAAAAAATTGCAAATTTTGCGATTGAATTATCGGATTGAGACATATTTAATTCTATTTTTATAAGTCGGCCAAAAAATATAAAAAAAACAAAGAAAGAGCAGAGAGCAAAAATAAAAAAGATATAAAAATAGAGAATAGGAAAAATTGAAAAACATATGGCAAAATTATAATTAGGCAGAAAGAAATAAATAAAGAAGGAAAAAAAATCATTGTTGGTAAAAAATTTGAAAAATTTAAAATAATGATTATATGTAAGAAATTATAAGAAAAAAGCTAAAAAATAAAAGAGATAATTAAGAAAATAATAGAGTATAAAATAAAAATGAAAAAACAACAAAATGAGAATATGGAGAAAAAAGAAGATCAAAGGTGCAAGAAAAAAATAGGAAGCCAAGTAAAAGAAAAAAAGTTCAATTAAATAAATAAAATGAGAGATAAAAATTAGTAAAATCAAAAAAGAGAGTAAAAAAATGTTTTCAAAATGTAATTTATTTACATGAAGTTATAATCAAATTACCTTGCGTGTAAAAAGTTCAATTTCATTTCATAATTGATATAATATGATAGTTTAAGTAGGGAAATAGCCACTTCCCAACCCACTCGCTACCTGAACTGGAAGTACGAGTATGTGATCTTTTCTAAAATTTGATAAATTCTTTATTGACTTTCTGTTTGCTAAAGTAGATGATTGTGAATAAAATAGTATACAAATCTTGGTGATTGTTGTTTCATCGTCTTTCGTCTTATTATTAATTTCGCCTTAGTAGTAAAGCACCTCCCACCTCAGTTCTATTATTAAAAACTAAAACAAGAATTTACTACAAATAAAAAAATGAGTAGAAAAAAGTAGAAAGAAAAATAAAAAAAACAAAGATCAAAAAAACTAAATTGCAAAAGAACTAAAATTTAAAAAAAAATAAAAAAAGAAAGAGGTTTAAAAATGAATTCAAAAACATATAAAAAATAGCAAACAGTCGAAAAGACAATGGGAAAGAAAAGCTGGAAAACGGGTGAATCATAAATAAATAAATTTAGAATAAATCAAAAAAAAAATTCAAATCAGGCAAAAAATTGGTTTATACAAATGATGGAAATCTTTGAAGCCAAATAACGGAAACAAAAAAAATTTTAAATAATGATTGAAGCAAGAAAAATAAAATTGTAAAAACAAAAAGGCAAACAAGAAAAAGAAAAAATGAATATGAAGCTAAAAAAATAGTACCTAGACAATAGATAATAGAAGGAAAGGAGGATAAAATTTAAATAGAATTTAAGTAAGAAAAATAAAAATGTAAAAACAAAAAAAACAAACAAGAAAAAAAGAAAAGGAATATAAAGCTAAAAAGATGTACTTAGATAATGAACAAATAGAAGGAAGGGATCACAAAATGGTTAAATAAAATAAAACATACAAATAAGTAGAGTGAAAGAGGTTACTAAAGAAAACGGGTAGAAAAAAAAAGTAAAAAAAAATCTCTTTTTCTTCTGTAAGTATAAAATACAAAACGACAATAAGAAAAGATTAATTTGCAAGACCAAGAAAGCACCAGAGAAACAAATTATGTAAGAACTACAACTAAAAAATAGAAAAAAAGTATAAAAAAAGTTGTTTGAACAAATGTAAAACATGAATAAAAGAAAAAAGAGAAGACTAAAGAAATGAAAAAAACTACAGAGTAAAAGGTGAAAGATACTGAGGTAGAATGCGAAAAAATATAAAATTTAAAAATATTTAAAACATGAACAGAAAAAATATAAAAAACAGCAAAGAGTAGAAAAGACAATCAGAAAAAATAAGTAAAAGAAGGCAAAAAATTGGTTTATACATATGAGGAAAATCTTTGAAGCCAATAATATTGGTTAACGGAAGCAAAGAATCAAAATTTAAAATAATGATTTAAGCAAGAAAAAAAAAGGAAAAGAAAAAAGTGAATATAAAGCTATGTATGTACCGACTTATATATAATAAACAAATAGGCGGAAAGGAGCACAAAATGGTTAAATAGAAAGGATTACTAAAGAAGAGTGGAAAAAAAAGAGAAAATAAAAGTATACAATACAAAACGACAAGAAAAAAGTATAACTTGCAAAATAGGAAAAAAAAGTAAAAAAGATGTTTGAAAAAAATTTAAAACATGAATAAAAGAAGTCTAAAGAAGTGAAAAGTGAAAGATTCTGAGGAAGAATGTGAAAAAAAACACAATGTTTTGAAGACAATATTTGTAATTATTTTAAATAAGACTTCGTTCCAAAGGAGACCCGAGTAAAAATTAGTCAAAAAATCAATTCACTTCTAAAATACAAGAAAAAATAGCATTTTGGGTGAAGAGAAACTATTGATTTGGAGATGAAAGCCTTACCAAAATAATATGATAATTTAAGAAAGAGAAAAAATTGTAAAAACAAAAAGACAAACAAGAAAAAGAAAAAATGAAGATAAAGCTATGTATGTACCTACTTAGATAATGAACAAATAGAAAGATGGGAGCACAAAATGGTTAAATAGAAAAGATTACTAAAGAAGAGTGGAAAAAAAGAGTATACAATACAAAACGACAAGAAAAAAGTATAACTTGCAAAATAGGAAAAAAAAGTAAAAAAAGATGTTTGAAAAAAATTTAAAACATGAATAAAAGAAGTCTAAAGAAGTGAAAAGTGAAAGATTCTGAGGAAGAATGCGAAAAAACATAACACTTAATGTTTTGAAGACAATATTTGTAATTATTTTAAATAAGACTTCGTTCCAAAGGAGACCGGAGTAAAAATTAGTCAAAAAATCAATTCACTTCTAAAATACACGAAAAAATAGCATTTTGGGTGAAGAGAAACTATTGATTTGGAGATGAAAGCCTTACCGGAATGATTAAGTGAAGACGCAATCGGCGTGGAGGCATGCAGGGACGGCCTGGGACTATCCGCCGTCCCCACAACATCCAATTCCGAGTCATCAGTCTTTGATACCGTACTGCTATCCGCCGACATCCTCGCAGGAAGCGGATGTGACGTCTTATCATCCGTGTGTCTCTGCGCCAGCATCGCCTGCCTGAAACAATACGAACAAATACCATCTATAAAATTTGTCGTCCTTCTTCCTCCTCAACTCCTCATCAACTCCACTTCTTAAAAAGGTTACCCCCCGACTGTAATTATCCCAGTAGTCGGTCAATTAAGCTTGCTTATAATTCGCCACTGTGTTACCCTTTGTTCTTGACCCTCACTCTGTTTGCACCCCACATTGATATCAATTGCTTTACCAGACTACTGAGACCCCAATACCCCACGACAATATGTGTATAGTCGCTATTGACCGCATGAGGAAACGGAACGTTCAGCAATTTAGATGAGACAGTAATCAATCCCTGCTTTATGTTGGCAACACTGGCTATCGGAATTCCGATCGCTAAATGTGTACTCATTACAAGAATGGCAGCGGTTAATTAATTTCATCAAACTGCGTTGCCAGATTTTCAAAATTTAATCACCTACTCTCCAGTGGCGCATCCAGAGGTAGAGTTTAAGGGGGTTTGTCCATGTAAAAAATTTTGGGCACTCATTTGAGTGACATGTGGAGAACTACATACCAGGGGAGGAAAAGGATCGATTTTTGAACCCAAAAAAAATCTCAGTTTCAAATCGTTCTAAATTAATTTAAATTCAACCAGTTTACTAATTGTTTGGAAAAAATGCAAAAATGTTGAGCTTTACATTCTTAATTCTGTGAAAAACGAACAACTAAATTTTACACGAGAAATATGAGAAAAAATTTTTTTTAATTTAAAATCTGTGCTCCGTTTCATGTTTTTCAAAATGCTGCGAATACGGTTGAAGATACAAGAAAAATGTAAGAAAAAAAATTGTAGAGAATAAAATTTTCTAGTAAAAAGTTTCAGACCATGGTTTAGGCCTCAAAGACGTTCAAAGCCGCTCAAACGACGGATTTGTTTCATTTTTACTGGTAGTTCAGTGCCAAAGGTACAATTTAAAGCAATTTAAACTTAAACCGTTGAAAATAGAAAAATGGTCTTGGAGACTTTTTTGTAGCAAATTTTATTCTCTACAATTTTGTTTCTTACACTTTTTTTATATTAACCGTATTCGCAGCGTTCTCAAAAATATAGGGCAAAACGCAAACTGATAATTGTAATTTATTTTTAATACTGTTTTCATATTTTTGAGAATATGGTTGAAGATACAAAAAAAGTGTACGGAACAAAGTTGTAGAGAATTAAATTTCCTACAAAAAAGTCCCCAAGACCATATCTCCAAACTATTGAAGTTAGAGGTACCAAATTTTATTTTCTACAATTTTCTTTTTTATATTTTTTTGTACCTTTAACCGTATTTGCAGCATTATCAAAAATACTTGTAAAGTGTTGTTTAAGACCATAAGAACCCAATATAAAAAAAAATTGGCCAAGGAATGTATAATTTAATTTATTTTTTTTAATTTGAGGTTATAACATGAATTTATTATTTCTATCGGCGTAACAAAAACTAGATGTACCCTCTGAACTAACAAAAAATAGATTTCCAGTTTATTAGTAGAGAAATTGTAAAAATTCAATAAGTCAAAAATTGAATTGAATTATATAAAATATTTGTAAATTAGATAGTATGAGGTTTAAAAAGAGGCGAAATAAATTTAAGTAAATATAAATAATTGAAAAAATATAAATTTTGACAAAATCCGATAGTGTGAGTTTTTATTACTTATATAAAATACTTGCATATTAGATAATGTTGAGTTAGAAGGAGGCGAGCGGCAAAGCCGCAAGCCCCCCCCCCTATAAATTTTTACAAAATCTGATATTGTGAATTCTACTCGGTCCCAACGACTACTTTCACAAAACATTTGCAAATCTAAGAGAATTTGCTCGATTTAGCTATAGTTTTATTATACATTTTTTTTCTATTTAGTGATTTTTAAATTGAATTGATTATTATATATGACAGTTAAAAATTTTGTCACTTGATTTTATATGCGGTACCAAAATTGGTTAAAAATAGCTCAAATTGTATTAGTTTCAATGAAATTGTTGATTTTCAACAATTTTTTCCAATATGCACAGTCAGTGATGGTAAAAATGTTTCTAAAAACAGTGTCACAAAAAGCTGAAAACTATCGAAATAGAAAAAAGCTCTTACGCTTTTTATGCGCATTTTCTTTGTTCACTTATTTGTTCTTATGTTTTTTTCTCTTTCTCATTATGCTTTGCGTTCTTATTTGTGCTCTCTCTTTCTCTCAGTATACTTATTAGAACATGTACACATGTTTTAAAGTTCGCGCTCTTATGCGCCCGCCATCTTTTGACATTTATTTGAATTATTTTAGAATTTAAATTTTTGAAAAATTGCCGACTTGACCGAGGCTTGAACCTGCTAGAAAGCGGGACCTTATGCCGCTGAGCCACCACCGCCGCCGACAGTTTCAATGTTTTAATTTAATATATTCATACACTTTTTAAAATTTTTCAAATATGTATTTCTCGCATTTTACAGCGTTTCTGTGCTTTTCTAAGTCTCTTGAATCCCCAAGAGTACAAAGACTTCAATTTTGAAGTTTTTAATTTTTTCGTTTTTTGTCGAAATTTTGGGCGATTTTTGGGACCCGGAGCGGTTTATTGCTAATAACTTCAGAATTATTGACGCTAGGCCTTTTTGTTTGGTACCATTGGAAAGCAAATTTAATTTTTTATAATATGAAAAAGAGATGCTTGTTCTACGTTAAATAGTTATCGAGAAAATTATATTCAAAGTATTTTAATTCAACTATAACTTCTAAACTATCAAGAATTTTGCAGTCTTCTCGGCGTCATTCGAACATTTTACATATGCATGCATAAAAATATAACGTTTGAGTTACAGTTTTGCCACACTTTACAAAATAAAAAAGTAAAAATTGCAAATCTTCTGAAATTATGACAACATAGAAAATAGTTGTATACAACATTTGAATTGTTTAATTTGTTTGTTTCTAAAATATCCAAAATAATTTAGCCCGATTTTGTTCAACAAGAAGTTCAACCATTTTTGAAAAATTGTTAAAACTAAATAAAATTAAGGTAACTGTTTTAACGGAAAAAGAAAGAGAAAAAAATCATGACAAAAAGTATAAAAATTATACTTTAAGAGAAATGATAAAATGGAAAGTTTAGGAGGAATTTAAAACTGGGGCGTTTTTTGGTGAAAATTTGTCCTGCAACTCCATACATAAACATCTTGTACATCTTATTCCAGAAATCAAGAATCTCTTTATTTATTCGTTTCTAAATTGCTCGTCGCTTTGCATTTTTATCCCGTTAGTATCGGTGGAATTTAAATGAGGGTTGAACTAGTGAGCATGTGACGTTATTCTTGCGGATGGGCGTCGTCGTCGCCGTCGCCGTCGTTCTAAATTAAAGGCGTCCGCAAAATAAAGACCTTAACGCTGTCATCGGGGGGTGACAATGCCGCTAACAGTATCAAATTAAGGTTGGCATTTTATATAAGGTCAAAACTAAAAGGGTGATGTATGTGTGCGTTAGAAGGGGGTGTATTTTCGGCATTTGCATTTACAGTAAGTGATATGCATACATTATTCCGGGGACTCCTCGGTGGAATGATTGTTAAAATGTTGCCAGACAAATTGGCTTAGGTCTGACAGGACGGGGATGAAACGGCGAAAATTAAACGCTTTTTTGCAGAATTAATTTACAGAGAGGAGGATTCTTAAAAGAGGCGACGGCAAGGGCTGGCTTGGCATTTTTCGCCCAAGAAAAAACATTTCCATGCAGAAATTCAAATTTCCTCATATAACGTCATATTTTTTCTTTTTCTCCATATTATAATTTATATGTTCAAATTTCAAATTGATTTCTGAGAAAAAGTAGATGAATGTAAAAGCACACGAAATGGAGAAATAACTGAATTAATAATGTACTATGACAATCCGGTCGCAGGTATTAATTTCAAACAGTTAATTTTCTGAGAAATTTCTGTATTCTGAGTATCATATTGTAAAACATAACATTAAAATGAATACAAACTATATTTATAGTATAATTCTATATTAAAACAATTGTTTCCTGAGTCATTTAGCATCAATTTAATTTGTTTCCTGAGTAAAGTAAATTTATTTTGGTTTTTCGTTTATTATCAATTTTTGTCTCCTGAGATATATTCCGAATAAAAGTATTCCAATTAATTCCTATGACAAAATTCTTGTTTGTTAATGTGTCCTGAGTTCTTCCTTAATCAATAACCTTGAGTTACTTTGTTTAATTAAGTCCATAAAATATTCTTTAATTATTTCTTTGGTTTCGTTAAAATTAATTTTATTCTAATAAGAGCATTTTTTTAAACAATTCTGTGTTTTGAGTAATTTTTAATCATTCGTAAAGTACATTAACAGTTTTACTAAAATTACTACTAAAATAATTGACATTTATGACATTCCTGAGTAAGAAAATTTGTTATTTATTTTTTTAAGTAAGGAGAATATTAGGTATGTAGTAGGGGTCTAGAGTTTATTAACTTAATTTCTTGTTTTCATATTCTTGGTTTCTGAGACATTTCCTGAGTAGGGGTTAAAATATAGCATTTTTTGTAATAACAACTTCTGGTTTTTGTTGAAATTCTGTTTTCTGAGACAACTTAAGTATATTTTTTTAATTATTTTATTATTATTTGAGTGTCACATATCTTTGGTTTTCTTAAAATTAATTTTATTCTTATAAGAGCATTTTTATAAAGTTTTCTGTGTTTTGAGTAATTTTTGCATCATTCGTAAAGCACATTTCCTGAGTAGGGGTTAAAATATAGCATTTTTTGTAATAACAACTTCAGGTTTTTGTTGAAATTCTGTTTGCTGAGACAACTTGAGTCAATATAAGAATATGTAATAATTTTTTTAATGATTTTATTATTTTTAGTGTCACATTTTTTGTTTTTTTTTTTTAATTAATTTTATTCTTATAAGACCATTTTTATAAAGTTTTCTGTTTTGAGTAATTTTTCAATCATTTGTAAAACACATTAACAGTTTAAATAAATTACTACTAAAATAACTGCCATTTACGATATTTTTCAATACGTTTCCTGGGTAAGAAAATTTGTAATTAATTTTTTTTTAAGTAAGGGAATATTAAGTAGTATGGGTCTAGAGTTTAAAGCTGATTAACTTAATTCCTTGTTTTTATATTTTTTTTTCTGGGAGATTTCCTGAGTAGGGGTTAAAATATCATTTTTTGGAATAACAACTTCAAGTTTTTGTTGAAATTCTGTTTTCTGAGACAGCTTGAATCAATATAATAATATGTAATTACTTTTTTGATGATGTTTTTTACTATTTTTACACATTTGTAAGAGCCTTTGTATTTTGTAGTTTTCTGAAATATTTAGCATAAATTTGATCTTTTTTGGAAAAACGGATTTATTTTTTTTGAGTAGTTTTCTGAGAGAGTTGGTATAAATTTGTCTTATTTTTGGGCTGAGTGTAAAAAACTTATTAAATACTTATTAATGATTTTAATAATTTCAATTTTTTACAATTTTTTTGAAAAAGTCTTTCAAAACCTGAGTATCAGATTTGTAAAAGTTTTTGTATATTAGCCTAACTGGTTTCCTGAGTAGTTGTGTTTTTATTTTAAAGTAGAGGGCTTTGTTTTTTATTTTCTGGGTAGTTTTCTGAGCCATTTAGAATAAATTTTATCTTTCTTAAGATGTATGTGGACGAGAGAAGGGGTTATTTTTTTGTTTTCTGAGCAGTTTTCTGAGAGAGTTAGTATAAATTTAACTTGTTCTTGGAATGAGTGCAGAAAACTTATTAAATACTTATTAATGATTTTAATAATTTTACTTTTTTACATATTTTTTAAAAAAGCCTTTCAGAACCAGAGTATCACATTTGTAAAAGCCTTTGTCTTTTATTCTAACTGGTTTCCTGAGTAGTTGTGTTTAGATTTTGAAGTAGACGGCTTTGTTTTTTATTTCTGGGTAGTTTTCTGAGCCATTTAGCACAAATTTTATCTTTCTTGAGATGTATGTGAACAAGAGGACTTGTTCATTTTTTTTTCTGAGTTGTTTTCTGAGAGTGTTGGTATAAATTTAACTTGTTCTTGGAATGAGTGCAGAAAACTTATTAAATACTTATTAATGATTTTAATAATTTTACTTTTTTACAAATTTTTTGTAAAAGTCTTTCAGAACCTGAATATTACATTTGTAAAAGCCTTTGTATTTTAGTCTAACTGGTTTCCTGAGTAGTTGTGTTTGGATTTTGAAGTAGACGACTTTGTTTTTTATTTTCTGGGTAGTTTCCTGAGCCATTTAGCTTAAATTTTATGTATGTAGACGAGTGGAGGGGTTTATTTTTTGTTTTCTGAGTAGTTTTCTGAGCGCGTTGGTATAAATTTAACTTGTTTTTGGACTGAGTGCAGAAAACTTATTAAATACTTACTTTTTCTCCCTCTTTCCCGCCCCCGTATCCCTGAACCCCTTAGCAAACGGATTGTTGTCGATCTTGAGCTGCGTTATCTGAAAAATAAAAATGACTCTAATTAACCCGACAATTAACAAAGACTGATTATTTACATAAACTATCCGCGATAAAATTACAGGAAATTCGCATCTGACAGAGCAAAGTATTCGAAAAAAATATTTCTTCACAATACAGTCTCATCTCTCTGTCTTTGTTCCTCTGGAATGAAATTCCTCGAATCACTCAAAACGTTTTTGTCCTTGTCTAATTATCACACGAGCGCTCCTTCGATGCTCTTTATATAACATATCGTATCTGTTTTGAGTTTCTCGAGCGGTTTTGTGGCTTTGTTCTTACGAATAATGTGCGACATATCTCGTTTGATTCCGAGAACAATTAGCGGATCGAGGAACGGTTTTTGAGCCATCTCGAGCTTTTTATTTTAATTGGGACGCGATGAAATTTCGGTTTTATTCGAATTACCACTCGTGGTGGCTGAAGCAGAAAAAAATTTGTAAATATTTGAGGAATCCACCCGGAGAAAACCAACGGAAAAATTCACTGATTACGAGATAGAGACTCTAATTAAGTTGACATTCTATCAAGAGGTTGAGAGCGTGTTTTCACAGGTAGAAGTGTGAAGATTTATCTAATTAAAAAACGAGATCAAACCATTTTTCTCATCATTTACGATTCATTAGTTTGGTGACTAGAAGTCATTATTCTTACCTTCTCATTTTGGTACGCTGTCACTGCGATGAACTCCGTTTCCTTGAAGACGTACGTCCGAAACGTCGAGTAGGGCAACTTCAAAATGTCGTTGGCCCTCACGAGGTGAAACCGTGGCTGGTATTTGTGCATGGAGTTGAGTATCGTCTAAAACAAAAAAAATGCAAAAATTCAGTAATTTTTTTACAGAAATATAAAAAATAAGTTTAAGTGGTATTTTAATTGAAAACTGTAAAGTCTAATATTTTTTTATTAATCTTCAAGAAGAGAGAATAACAGTAAAAACTCAAAAAAACAGGCAAGAAACAATTATGAGTAATATGAAGATACAGATGAAAGCAGAAATAAAGAAAAAGTTCAAAAATTCTCAAAAAAAGTTACAAAAAGAAAACAGAACAGAAGGATTGCAATCATCACCTTTCTATTTAATTTTTATCGAAATTTTTCAAAAACAAAACCAAATTTCATTCTAAAAACACGGTCACAAGTTTTAATTATTTTAATCTTTGTTAATTATTATTTTCTGAAAGTAAATGATTTAAAAAAATGCTTGGTTTTATATTTGTTACATACCTTGTATGTTAGTTATTCATGAATCACATAAATAAATAAAACAAACTGAGTTTTTTGAGTTAAAATCTGCAAGAGTAGAAAAAAACATATATGTATTTTTTTTTAAATGTTAATCTGAATTCAAAAGTAACAGAAGCTGAAACAGTATTTTAAGAAAAAAAAAATGTTTATATCCAAATTCACAGAATGACTTTGTTATGAAAAAAGAAAAAATCACAAAGTAAATCATTTGGGATTTAAAAAAAGTGAAAAAACAGTAAATAAAATTGATATATGTAATATCACTATAAGAATAAAAAAATGGCAAAAATTAACTAATTTGTTTCAGAAATATAAAAAATAAGTTTGAGTAGTATTTTA